CCCCACCCCCGACCGACTGACAGATGGGTGACGGTGACGGGACGGGACGGGACAGAAGCGGAAGGTGGTTCTTAAAGAGACAGAGGCCAATTTCAAGGCGTTTAGAAGAGGAAGTGATGAGAAGATAAGTTTATTTTTCTATTTAAACATAAAAACAACATTTTAATAGTAGCTAAAGGTGACATAGATACTTTATTATGGTAAAGTATTTAAATATATGCCTGAGAAACACATAATACTGCCCCTTTAAATATCTTGTCTTTGTTGTGTATTAAGGTTAATTATAAGAATGAATTAAGGCTGAAAAGAATTTGCAGATCATCAAGTTCTGTTTTAATTTTGTTTTATACAACATTTAAACTTCATTGGAATTGGGGTTGTAGAAGTCTATCCAGAGATGACTTTTTGAGAGTTTCATTAAAATGTGTCCAGAGGTTTACAAGATTCTACCAGAAACACAGAAACAACCGTAAAGATAAAAACTTTCTCTCCTGCTGCTGAAAGGCAAAAATCAGGTGATGATTTGTGATGACGTCATGCTTAGAGTCAGGACTTATCTGAGGCTGGTAACCATTGTGCCCAGTGAACACTAGATGGAGCAACAAGCACTCCAGTACCATTGTAACTGTTTTACATTGACTGTACTCTTTAAAAGAGCTGTTCTCACATTTTATGTAAACTATTCTTACTTCAGTGGTAGTTTCAATTTTTCACAGCATATCTTTAAGTACAGAGGATGACGTAATGACATGAATAAGCAATAAAAATGATACAGTTCAAATATGATCAGTGATCTGTAATTTTAAATCTCATTCCTGCACATATGAATTTGGCAAACACACTGCATGTGGGCCATGACTCACCGGCACACACTTTCAGGCTCGAAGTAGCGTGAGTGACGTCCATCAATGACGATGATTTCATGGTGCTTGTCCAGGAAACACTCAACAGCAGATTCTGGTGTTCGTGCTATGTTACACCTGAAGCCAGCACGGTCGCAGGCCCACCAGAAGGCATCGCTTTGACTGTCCTCCTTAGCGAACACTAGCAACACCTGAAGGAAGAAATGATCAGGAAACCTGGATAAAACAACATCACAGAGGTTTGTTTCATGTTTCAAACACAAATGTTACAATCTCATGATTTCATGGTTTAGAACGTAGAAAGACTTTGAGCACATTTAATCACAAACAGAGATGAACTTCACTTTTACAAGCATTATTTTCTTCACTGGATCACGATCAAGATCACTTCAGTTAAAACTGCAAATAACTGCTCTGACCCCAGCAGAGGACGAAATAACAAAAACTGACTGAGCTGCAACTGTCACAATTTGTATCATATTTGCTACACAGGATTCTGTGACCTATATTTTATCAATGTGGTCAATATTTTCCTCAAAAACCTGTTGTATATGATGTGAGACCTGTATTCTGCCCCCTGGAGGATCATCAATGTCCTGCAGGAAGTGGAACTTTTCAAAATGTCTGCTGACATGACGTCATCCACACGGTTTTTTCAGGAAAACTTTTGCTAATTTTGGAGAAGTTATGGTAAGAATAACATCAATATTG